TTGATAAATGATGAAACGAATCCAGAAAACTGGCAGACTAATTCTTCAATGAATAATTGTATCAAAGTTGCAGAGGTCTCGGATTTTCGTAACAAGCGAAACGTGTGATGTCATTTAACGCGATGTTAGAATAGCTGAGCGTATGAACAGTTGCGACACAGTTATGTTGTTATTTATATTCCCGTGTAAAGCGTACGTGCCGCATTAACCGAGATGATTACACGGGACCAAGTGCACTTACATAATGAAATGCAACAGCCTACCATGTGCCCCGGTGAGGCGAGCGTCCAGCTGCGTTGCATACGGACGAGCAAGCGCAATTCTGCGACCCAGTGCCATCATAGAAGAGAGCTTACGAGCTTGCCAACTAATACAGGAACGCGAGGCACTTAGCAAGTCGTAATCTCGATTATGTTAAAACAGGATTATTAGTCTCCGGCGAAGATAAAAGGGTGCTGTAATTTGAAGCATTTAATGTCGATCTGGCGTGCAACTAATAGGAATTTAACTAATACGTATAGAAGTGTTATTAATTAATTATCCCATTCGATCTACCAGGAAGCGTTTGCGTTTAATGATAGCCTCGGTACGAACCGAAAAATGCCCATTTTACCAAATCCGCTACAAGCCATCTTTCACTAATACGAATTCTTCTCAGTTCTCACTGTGTCACGTGTCAATCGTATGAAGAAGCGTGGAAACACCGAAGCAAGTCTCACTTAGGCGATTTACCTGTCGCACCACTCTGCACATATTCTGTCCGTGAGAAGAGAGCTCAGAAAACCGGAGCACCGTCTGCGGAATGCTGAACTTACAGTGAATTACAGTTTTGCCGCATAGCTGGCTTATATAGAGAGCTCGCCTACGCCTACGAGAGGATTCATTTCCTGCCGGGTGCTCCTCGTGCCGGAGGAGGACCCAACCGGCGGATCGAGAGCCGAGTCCGGGGGACCACGTCGTCGCCTTGGTTACTCCAGTTCACATGGTAGTAACGCCAGCCGTGTGGAAAGCCCGCGCTTTATTCCCCATTGTTCCGCGCTCGCTGCGATTTTCGGGCGGTGCTGGTGTATCTTCCAGAGCGGAGAAAGCTGGTTACTTCACCGCGTGGGACAGCGGAGGAGCAGCGTATCCGAGCCGTTGGCTAATTAGCCAATCGAGGCTTAATTAAGATACCTGGACCATTGTCCATCCACCGCGAACCTCATGGCGTAACGATTTTCGTCGACTGGTTTTAGGGAGAGGTTCAAGAATCGGTCCCTGTTTGGAGAACAGCGGCCATTGTGTCGTAGATGAAACTTGAGGCATTAGGAAAAAGTTAGGGTCGAGGTTGACGTCGCGAACTTGATCCGATCTACGTTTGTTCTTCAGTTAATACCGGCGAGAGATGATCAGCAATGATCAGACGATTAAATCTGTGAACGGGTTTAATTATTATTAATGTATGTGCTGTATTGATACGAACTTGTATGGAGTTACTGTGGATGGTATTAGAATTCTTGATGTACTCGTTAAGAACGATGCTTTCGTTCAGGCGAGCTCGATTGCTACATAAGATTTATTTATCTCCGCGGTCAGACCGCCGCCACCGCCGCAGCGACGCATCTCTTCCTTCGTTGGTCAGCGAGCACACGCAACGTGTGTCAAGGAACGGCACAATGTGTAACGCGAATCCTGGATGAGATCGGCACGCAGACCGATTTAGAAAGTAGCGTTAAAATCTCCTTTCGACCTGGTCATCTCGTTAAACGTTACGTTACTCCGTTTTGCAACTCATCACGCTCGTTTCATTCAGCTGATACTTGGGACTGTATGTACGTTTTTCTCTGGATTGGAGCAGGATTCGTGGATTTAGTAATTAGACTCTGGATTTTATGGTTTATAAGAATACCTGATGTGCAGAAATGTGCAATTGTCTTTTCGTCCAGCTAATACTTGGGACTGTACATTTTTTCCTGGTGGAGGATTCATGGATTTAATAATTAGTCTCCGGATTTAATAATTAGTCTCCGAATTTTATGGTTTATAAGAATACCTGATGTGCAGAAATGTGCAATTGTCTTTTCGTCCAGCTAATACTTGGGACTGTACATTTTTTCCTGGTGGAGGATTCATGGATTTAATAATTAGTCTCCGGATTTAATAATTAGTCTCCGAATTTTATGGTTTATAAGAATACCTGATGTGCAGAAATGTGCAATTGTCTTTTCGTCCAGCTAATACTTGGGACTGTACATTTTTTCCTGGTGGAGGATTCATGGATTTAATAATTAG